GTGGGAGCGCTGCTGCGCTCCCAGTGCCACACTCTCCCAAGTGCGCCACGGGCTCGGCCCAAATGAAGTGATTATTAAAGGCTCACTGTGTACCAGGCACTATTCCAGGCATCGAGGACACAGCAATGACTAAAACCCCTGCCTTCGTGGGGCTTACATTGCAATGTGGGGTGACAAAAGTAACAATGTAAATGATCCAGTATGTTTAGGGAGGTAAAGCAGGGAGAGGGGCAGGGAGAGCTGGGGATGGAGGTGTCCTTTTATGGGGTGGCCAGGAAAGGCCTCACCGAGGAAGTGGTGTTTGCACAAATGCTTCAAGGGAAAAGGGAGAGACTCACACAGGTATTGGTGGGAAGCATTCTACAGAGCCGGCGGGTTAAGGCAGATGCATGCCTGGCATATCGTAGGAAGTCAGCGAGGCCCAGGAGGCTGGAGGGGAGTGATTGAGGGCAAAGATAAGGCCAGAGAGGTCATGGGGAGCAGATTGGTCCTTGCGGGCCATTTTAAAGACTTTGGCTTTTACTCTGGGAAAGATGGGTTGCTGCTGAAGAGTTTTGAGCACAGATGATGTTTTAACAGGATCCCTCTGGCTCCTGTGCTGAGAACAGACTAAATGGGGGCAAGAATGAAAGGTGGGAGGCCATGGCAACAAGAGGAGAGGAATCGAGGGCTTGGACCGGAGTGACAGATGTGCAAGTTGTGAGAAGTGGTTGCATCTGCGATATATTTGGAAGGATTTGCTGATGAAGCATGTGTGGGTGGCAGAGAGAGGAGTCAAGGATGCTGATTTAAGTAAAGATCTTACAAAGCACCCAGGGCCTGGCACATAGGGAGTGCCTGATCACAGTCACTGTCACCACTGCTAGGTATCAGTATGAGCAGGGAGGGCTGAGTCAGCAGGCAGGGGCCAGCTGGAAGATGGCACAGGAGATCTGGGACTGGACAGATGCACCGAGGCGTATAACCAGAGACAGGGTGAAGTGCTTGGAGGCCAGGAGAATGCTTTGGGGAACAGGGGTAGTCAGACCAAAGGAGACTGATGCATACAGAGAAATGGCCTTTGGAACTGTGGATTTCTAGCTTTGGCACCCTTTGTGTGCTATTTGTCAAAGTCCTGATGAGCCGTGGACTGGACTTAGTGACAGGGTCAAAGCCAGATTTAATCTATCAGGCACCAACATGAGCCAGGCACCATCCCCCAGTGACCTCCAGGACTCAGCTTCCCCTGCCCGGTGTAGGCCAGCTGATGTAGGCTGGGCTCGGCTAGGCCAATTGGCTCTGCCCCATGTGTCTCTCATCCTCCTGGGACCAGACATGTCTTTTCACAGTGATGGCAGAGATTCAAGAGGGTGAGCCTAATCTGGCAGATGCTTTTCAAGCCTTTGGACATGTCGAGGGCTCCAAACTTCCAATGACCAAAGCAAACCACAAGGCCAAATCCAAAGTCAAGGGGTGGGGAAATATACTCCACCTCTCTAATGGGAAGAGCTGGAAAATCACATTGCAAAGGGTGTGGATACATTGAGGGGGGACACTTTGGGCCCATAATCTAATCTGTTCCACCTCGCCAGGGCTGGCTCAGAAACTGGGCAGGGCAGGATCTGCAGAGAAGTGCAGAGGGAGCTGCAAGGCTTCACATTTAGATACTCACAGAAAGTGTGCTGAGGATTGAATTCAGTAGTCCTAGGGGCACAATCTCAGACATATGTGAGAGACCCCTGGGGGAGTCCCAGAGCCCCTCAAAGCCCACCAGGTAGAAGGACACCTTTTCTGGGCCGGCCCGTGGCTCACTCGGGAGAGTGTGGTGCTGATAACACCAAGGCCACGGGTTCGGATCCTATATAGGGATGGCCGGTTTGCTCACTGGCTGAGC